TCAAATGTCGCACACGCTACTTTTACAGGCAAGGTTCTTGCTGCTTTTTGATGGCAAGGATTCATTTCCAATTAAAAAGGCTAATTTGGTAACTTTTTCTGTGGCACTCAGAATTTACAATGGTGCCTTTGGTTACCATGTATGGCCAGTGGGTATGTGCTCAAATTTCTCTCAAATTCCACTTTCAAATGTATACAATGTACAGCTGCCAGTATAATGGAAAAAGGCTAATATGATCATGTCATTTCACCCAGTTCTCCAACTCTTTCTTCTACCATTCACTCCACCTGTCTTGCACTTAATTTTTGGCGTAGATTTGTATTTATAATTTAACTGAAATGTTATTTAGTAAGACAAAACATACACAGTCTGTATTGGTCAGTGCTTACTAGAGAAACAGATTTAATGCAAGATAAACAAATACATAAAAATTTATAAGATTGGCTTACAATGGCCGCACACAGAGTCAGGTGCAGAAGAGCGCAAAAGATCTGTCTGTACACTAAAGACTCAAAGAATCCAGTCGAAGGCCTGGAGCTCAATGCAGTGTCCTGTGCAAGTCTGTATCAGACGGCTGAAGGGTCTGCAGTGGAAGGCTGAAGGATCTATGCTGGAAGGCTGAAGGATCTATGCTGGAAGGCTAAAGAGCTCACACTGAAAGGCTGAAGAGCCTGTGCTGGAAGCCAGGAGATGATGTCCAAGGTAAAGGTGAAGACTGGTGTCCCGCTGAAAAAACAGAAGCGTGTCTTCCTTCTTCATTTCCCTTTTATATCATTCTGTTGACAAGCCTCCCTAGAATGGGTCTTCCACACCCAAAACTATGCTGATCCAATTTAGCTGGGTGTTTCTTACTCAAGTTGACACAATCAGTTAACTATCATACTGTCTCACAACACTTCGGTAACCTCCATGTTTTCAAATAATAATGATCATGTTACTATTTTCTGATGTGTAAGTTTTAGATATTGATTTTCTATTACAGAAGATGAAGATTTAATTTTCTTACACTATTCACACCACATATACTTCGCCTCCATCACCTTCCAATATAGTTATATGTTAACTTGTGCATAAATCAATGTGCAATATTTACATTTATATAATTATATCATGCAATATTATACATTTACATAGTTACATATAAGCTAAGCCACAGAGTATATGGAGCTGAAATTCCTTTCTTGGCATGCTTTTATCTGTACCAATTATCAGTAAATAATTGGTTTGGTTTTTCACAAGCTTAGCTTTCTGTGTCTATAAGTAAATAGTCCCAAACCTTCAGAAAAAATGTTCACCAAAATCTTCATGTAGTCAAAAACTAGGCAATCAAACAATTCAATGTGCTCCCCTGCCCAATTTTTCTGCAAAACGCACCTCCTAGAATGGTGAAATGGTTGGTCTCTTGACATGCCTCATAGCTGTCACCATGGAACATTCCTTTAGCATTTCTCTAGGATTTGCCTGCAGCATTCGCCTATCTGAACTTCCATTTCCTAGATGAGTGGCCACTGGCATGTAAGCCAAGTTGCCCCAGCAGCCAAACACTGGATAATACTTTTGTTTTGTTTTTTTCTAAACTAAAACCTCAATATTCAGGTTTAATTGTACTGTTGGGAGTTTGCAAATAGTAAGTAGGTTTTGAGTTGCAGTTTGGGCACTCAGTCTCTAAAATGTTCGCCATTAGTGTCCTAGGTTCTATTATTTCTTTCTTATATTACTTCTTTGTTCTACTGGAGCATACGCTTAAGTAGCTTTCTGAGAACACACTGCAAGGAAGATAAAATTGATGAGACCCTACATAATCTGCAATGCAATTACTTTGTGCTTGCTCCTGGCCCAAAGTATTCTATGACTGACCATAGAATTCTAAGCTGCAAATAATTCTTTTCTTTCAAAATTATTTAAGCACTGCTCTACTATCTTCTAATCATAAATGTTGCTACTGAGAAATCCAACACCAAGTATATATGATCAGCATTTTCCCTCTCAAAGCTTTTAGGGATTTTTCTTCATTCAAGGTGCTTTGAAATTTTACATTTAGATTTCTTGATGTGTGCTTAATGTTTTTCTTTTCATAAATTATGCAGTCAAAGGATGGGATCTTCTAATCTAAAATCTAACACCTTTCAATTCTGGAAATTTTTCTTGTGTGATTTGTTTGATGATTTTCTTCTCTGTGTTTAATTGCTGTTGTTGTTGTTGTTGTTCTCTCTGATATCCCTGATAGTGGATGTTGAGCCTACTGAGTTGATCTAATTCTTATTTGATCTTTCCTCTCTTGTTTTTCATCTCTCTCTTTTTTATTTTTCAAAAGATTTCCTCAATGTTATCATCCAACCTTTTAATGAATTATTTATTTCTACCTAAATTTTAACTTCCAAGATTTTTTATTCTCTTTATTAGTCACATAGTTATTTGTCCTTGTTTTGTGAGCAAAACAGAAACACTCCATGATTTCTCTAAGTCAATTATACTTTTAAAGTCTGTAATCTGTTTCCTCCAACTGCTTTCTTTCTGTTGCTGCTGCTGTTAAGGTATTTTATACCAGACTCCAGTGAACTGTCTAAGGCCCCTGGGCTGTTCCTTCTGATTTTACGACAGCTTTGTGTAGAAGGACAGAGTTTTACAAGAGGCACCCATATTGATAGAAAATTAGCAAAATTCAGTCATTTGGGGGTACCCTTAACTGTCAGATCTATGATGTTTTCCTTAAGCTTTTTTTCTTCTAATGAGGTCTTCAAACTCTTGCCTATAGGTGCCTGAGAGCCTGGAGGAATAATGAAGCTGGAAATGTCTCCATTAGGTCTGCAATTTCATTAGTCTCTGTCCTAATCTCCCTCTCTGAACTAAAGCCCAGAGTTCAGTGAGGAGAAAACCTCCCACATTGTGCTGGGGCAGAAGGCAGTCTCTGGCTATGCGAAGTTGAAAAACAAGTATATGTGGATATAACTATAACCCTTCCATTCAAATGCACCTCCCAGCCACTAGAAACACCTGGCATGTTCAGTTCCTATATCGCTGGAGTTCTGATTGAGCTACATTCTTCTGCTCCCACCATCTCTACTCGTCTCACACAGGTTAGGTCACAGTTTCCCCATGTTACGTTTGCTTGTTCTCTTTCCATTTTCCAATATTTTGTACGTGTTTCTTCCCTACCATCATCACCGACCCTGTTTAGTCTTGCCTTATGGGTTGCCATCCTCTCTGCTCCTTCATTAGCATTTCAGTTGTTGCAGAGGGAACCAAATGTAAGTGTTGAGTTTGCCTCATCATGGTGCACCACAAAGCAATTCTGAGCAATGGTTCCCTCCCAAGCACATCACACCCAAGTGCACTCTTGCTGCTTCCCTGCCTGTTCCACCCTTATCCCTCTCCTCTGTTTCCTAACCTTTGGCCATCTATCAAGATTTAGCTCAGGCATCCTCTCAAGCAGGAAACCCTTGGACCTTCCCTGCACATGCAGTGTGTATCTCATGCCTGACCCACACCATATCCATCACCTTCTGCCAAATGGCTCTGTTTCCTATCTGTCTCCTTCCCCAAGAAAGAGAAGTAAGTAGGCCAGGGCTGTGTCTCATCCACTGTTCTGTCTCTACTGTGAGGAAAACCACCCAACACAATAGGTGCCCATCAATATTCGTTCAACTGTCCCATTTCCAGTAAGTTGCATGGTGGAGACATTTTCATAAGAGAACAAAAAATAATATGGCCATGTTTATTTGCCAACATCCAAATAAGAAAAGCTAATCACAGAGCACTAGGAAATGAAAACAGCCAGATGTTTTTGAGAGCGCAAGTCGAAGAACACAAAATAGCTTACAATGGGGCTGATGTATATTTTCCCAGTGATTCAAAATGAATGTATGCTTATTAGGTGGAGAGGGAGATTTAACAGGTTTCTCAGCTAATGCTGCAATTTTAAATCCATTTAAGATAATTTTCTTTATCTTGAATTTATTTTTCTCAGTAACCAGGATACTTAACTGATTTGCACAAAATCCATTTGAAAAAGAAATAATCTACTCCAACCAAGGGCACACTCTAACTAGAAAAATAGCGACACTACAAGCCTAACAGAAAATCGAGAATTTGTTTGAGAGGCCAAAGTGGAGTTCTACTTAGAAAATAGGGACTCTTTGTCCAGCATCTAGGCTCCACATACAACCTTCTTTCTCTATTTCAAACAAAGAAAATAATTCCTAAAACAAAGAGTATAAAACAAAGACTTCCCATAAGCCAACCAAGATACACTCAAACTTTTTAAAAGGCAAGAATTTCAAACAACAAAAGTATAAGGTGAAACAATAACAAAATGTACCTTCTCACCTATCAACTTGGAAAAGCAGTTTTTAAATGCGAATACCCAGTATTGGGTCTAGTAAAATTCTAATAGGAGTATAAATTTCTATACATTCTTGAAAAAAAAAATTACATGTCTCTAGAGCCTCCAAAAATATCCTGAAACTGTGACACAAGGATTATACCTTTAGAGCTGTGGATTAGGAAAATAAATACCAAATCAATACACATAAAGATGTGAATGAGAAGAAGTATTGATTAATGTTATATATAATAATGAAAAATTGAAAGTAATTGAAATTTCCAATAGTGGAAATAATGATTATAATCAATAACATCAAAAAGCCTTATGATGTCAAATAAAAAGCATAAAACCAGTATTTCATAGGCTCACAATCTGAATAAAACCAGACTCAGTATATTAAAACTTTAATTGTTGTTGCCTTTAGGTAATATGATTAAGGTGATATATTTAAATGTAAACATTTTGTATTGAGGACTTTTTTGTATGTTTCTGGGTCATTGTGACAACAATTTAATTTTTTTATTTAGCTAATATTTCATAAGCAACAGTTCTTGGTTGACTGATTATGGAAGAGACTGAGTGATTTCCCCATGTCAGTTAAAAAAGAGGAAATGTCACAGATTCACAGTGTAACCCATCCATATGACCATGTCTGAATGATCGAACCAGAACTTACTTGGTGGGACGATAATCCGGAATGGAACGATCCAGTGAAATTTTTTCACTGAGGTAGGAATTGTACCCATACTTCTCATGGGGTCCCTTGGCTTTTTCTTCTTCCGCTGGGGAAAGGGTGGCAGGAAGGCCCCCTCTTCCCCGTCCACCATAACCTTCAATGAGCCCAAGGGATTTGGATAAACCTAGAAAAAGAGGAAGAAGAATTACTTGAAAAATACCATACCAGGACGTGGCACTCAATCTCAGAAACAGTCATAGGAATCAGAATGTCATCTGTTGCAGAAAAAATTATGTCCTCAATTTATCAATCCCAGGTATATACCCTAAAAATATTTTTATGAAGAGCAGGTTACGGCAACAAGAGTTGTAGGGTTAAAGGCTGGTTGCCAATTAGGAGATGGAACAGGGCCAACAAACAGGAGAGGTCAACTGACATGGGAAAAATGAAGGCCAAGAGGGACACACAAAATGGGACAAATTGGGACTATTATTCATGCCTCGTTTCCTTCCTCCATGGGGCAATCACAACAAGGCTGGGTCTGCCAGAAAGAACCTGGTACATCACAGAGTCAGAGCAGCAAATAACAGGTAGCTGCCAGGGGTTTCTGTTTCATTTAAACGGAGAATGACCGTGCAGATTGATTTTATCATGAGTTCAAAGCATTCAACAGCCTGACATGGCTTTTTACCTAATGGTTTTATTTAAATTTCATCTAAATGGCCAAAGGCAATACAAAATGTTAGAGAATAAATCACAAAGAAAAAAGAAACCCATAAGGGTGATAACCATGCGAAGTAAAGAGGAGGCCTCTGTAATAAGCCTCCTGAGCAATTCAAGTTCCCAGAATGCCAGCAGCTTTGCACTTCTTGTTCCATTAGACGATAAACAACTTGATGGGCAATTTTTAAATCCTACAGTTATGAGAGTTTTTACTACTTAGCTAGGAAACTTTGGCTGTTATGGCTTTCATTCCCTTTTGCCATTTCAAATGCTCCAGCTACTCAGTATACACATACACACACACACACACACACACACACACACACGACAGTTTGTGTGTCCAATACCCAGCATTTCTTCGACACTATTGGCAGGATGAGTGTGAACCAGAGATGTACACAGTGGCTTTAATGGTGGGCCAAGGAGGACCCAGACCTCCCAAGAAGACATCCCTAGGGAAGTTAAAAGCCACCTAATCTGCTCAGGTCATGCCTCCCCATCACACAACAGCAAGGCCTGTTTGTCTGAAAACAGAAACGTATTTTCTGTAATGTCAAGATCAAAAGCAAAAAAAAAAAAAAAGATCAAAAGCAAAGGTTAGGCAAGCAGGTCAGAGTAGATCTCAGATGAACATCTTTCTTCTGCCTGGGAATCGTTTCCACAGTTCAACATGTTCTTTAGGAATCCTAACCCTTTTGCCCTGCCACCTGCCCATACAGACCCCATCAGCTAAGACTTAAATTAGCCAACATTTCCTGCCTGGTTTATTGTCTTTATTTTATTTTATACATCTTATTTTAATTTGGGCAGCAGTGGGTTCAGAGCCTATACACTGAACTATATTCCCAGCCCCTTTTACGTTTTACATTGAAACAGAGTCTCACTACATCACTAAATTGTCCAGGCTGGGCTCAAACTTACAGTTGTCCTGCCTCAGCCTCCCAGATAGCTGGGATTACAGGCATGCACCACCACACCTGGCTTGATTCCTTGTCTTTAATATCACATCCTACCTCAGTGTATAACAGATACTCCAATAATGCCATCTCAACCTGGCTCAAAACATTTCCTGTGTCAAGTACAAACACCTGTGCTTGGTTTTAAAAAGTGGTTACTAACGGGAATGTAAAATGGACCAGCCACTTGGAAAAGGGGATCGCAGTTCTTCTACTTGCCATGTGACTCACAATGTGACCCAGCAATTCCACTCCTAGCAATTCCACACAAAAACTAGAACATAAATGTTCAGAGTAACTTTATTTATATTCGTGAAACGTCCATCAAGCAGTGAATAGAGAAACTAAATGTGATATATCCCTCCAATGGGATATTTAGGAATAACAAGGAATGAAGTAGCGATTCATGCTACAGCCTGGGTGAATCTTGAAAACACTGTCAGGTAAACCAAGCTGGTCAAAAAAGACCACATGATCTATGAGTCTGTTTATATGCGATATATAAACTAAACAAATCTATAAGGCCAGAAAGTAGCTTAGTGGTTGCTCAGGGTTAAGGGGATGTGGGAAGTGACTGTTAAAGAGCATGGGTTTTCTTTGGGGGATGCTAGAAATATTTTACAGTTAGATTGTGGTTATGGTTACACAACTTTGAGCATATACTAAAACCCACTCAACGGTACATTTTTAAGTAGATGAATGATATGGGATATATAAAATCCTCAATGAAGTTATTTTTTTAAAAAAACCCTTGTGTGGACAGTTCCACAGCAAAAAAAGAGAGCTAACTATCATAAAAACTTTCCACTCCAACACAGAAATGCTCAATAAAATAATTATACATTGTGTACACTGTACAGCTGAGCTTGCAAGAAAGGGAAATGCTCAGGGATAAGTCAATGCCAGAATTGAGACCCTCTCTGCTGACAGAGAAGGAAAGTGGGTGGCCATTAACTAAAGGTTGAGTTTTAGAGCCCAGTCAAGCACAGAGTAAGGAACTCCAGTTCTCTAGAGAAACAGAATTGGAACTGAAATATCTATAAAAATTTAGACCCCCTGCCTATAATCCCAGGACTCTGACAGGCTGAGGCAAGAGGACTACAAGTTCAAGCTCAGCCTGGACAACTTAGTGATTTAGTGAGACCCTGTATCAAAAATGTTTTCAAAAATTTTATAAAGGTCCAGGGATGTAGCTCAGAGGGAAGGCCCTGGGTTCAATCGCCAGCACGCATACACACACACACACACACACACACACACACACATACACACACACACCTGGATTTCAGATTTCTAGCCCCTAGAACTTAGAGAGAATAGATTTTTTTTTTGGTACCAGGGATCAAACTGAGAATAGATTTTTGTTGTTGTATGTCACCAAATTTATAGTAATTTGTATGAAACTACAGGAAACTAAAACAATGAATATTAAAAAATAGAATGGAAACAGATAAATAAAATATATAAAGTCAAATACTACCCCAAAGACAAGTGGGGTAGTTATATTAACATTACATAAATAGACTTGAAGGCAAATGGCTTTATAGGAATAATACAATCATTGCAAAATGATAAAAGTAACAATCTGGCAGGACACTCTAAGGAATTATAAACTACCATGCACTTAACAACACAACTTCAAAATACGTGCTGCAAAAACAGAACACCTTACAAGGAGAATCAACAAATACACAATGATACTGAGAAATATTAACTCATCACTTGACACTCAATAAATCAGAAGGACGGAAATTTAGTAACAACAGAAAGGAAATGAACAACATCTTCAAGAAGTTGGATCTGCTGGACCCTACACTTGATTTTCCAGGAAGTACACATTCCCTTTACGGGAGCACAGAACATTAAAACAACTGGCAGACCACAAAGAAAGTCTCAACCTATCCTACTGGCCAGCTTTTCTGAGCATAAATCAAAAATAAGCCCAGAAATTAATGATAAAAATGTCACAAACTACCCATATACTTTGGCAGTTAAAAAAAAATTTCTAAACTGGGCATGGTGATGCACACCTGTAATCCCAGCACTCTGAGAAGCTGAGTGGGAAGATCACAAGTTGGAGTCCAGTCTGGGCAGCTGAGTGACCTATCAAGACCTTGTCTCAAGATAAAAACTAAAACGGACTGAGGAAGTAGCTCAGTGCAAAGGCTGTCTGTTTAATCTCTAGTACTGTAACAACAACAAAAAAGACTTCTAAAAAGTCATGGGTCAGACAATTTATCTGTTAGAAATACCGGAAGTTGATAAAATATGAAATAGTCTCAAAAATTGTAAGACAGTGCTAAAACAATACTTTCAAAAAGCTGTATCCCTTAAATGATATATTTTGGTGAGCCAAAGTTCACTTCCAGTTAATGAGGTAAATATCTAACACAAGGAGTTAGATAAACAGACAAGAAACTCAAGGAAAACAATAATTAACAAAAGAATTAAAAATGAGTGACATCCATATGCAAAAGAAAAGAAAGAAGAAAGGAAAAGAGGGAGGGAGAGCTTAACAGGAATTGTGGAGACAACTCCAGCCATTCTGGAGGGGGAAGGTCATGTTCCCTTCAGGAAGGACACAGGTACCTGTCACAGTAGGTACAACGCCCAGAGCTGAGGGTTCTTTTGGGAGCTCAGAAAAATGTCTAAATTTCTTTTAGAATCAGAACACACAGCTATGAAATTTAATTTTTCAATTTTTAATTTTTTAGAGGGAGCAGAAAGATTCCGGGAAGGTACAAGGACCCACCACCCACAAAAGTTTGACTGTGATCCTGGCTCTCTTGAGTTGAGGCTTTACCTGTAAGTGACCAGGAAGCAAGGACAAGGAAAATAACAAGATCTCACCCACAGCTGATGGATTTCATCCAGGCAGTAGGCAACACAAGGACAGACCCTAGACAGTAACAGCAATGACAACTGCACTTGTGGGTCATCTACAGGTTCTGGGGACAATGCGTAGTGCTTTACATACACTGCAGCATGTTCCATGTACTCTCTTAAGGAGGTTCTTATGGTCTCTGTTTCATAAATAAGGACACTGAATCTGAAAATGCAGGAACTCCAGTTTGGTTTGGTTTTGTTGCTCTGGGAATTGAACCCAAGGCCTTTGCACCAAGTTACATCATCACCCTTTTTATTTTTTCTTTTGAGACAGAGTCTCTCTAAGTTGTCCAGTGGGGCCTTAAACCTGAGATTCTCCCAGAGTGTTGAAATTATAGGTGGGCACCACCACATCTAGCTTAGACATTTTTCTGGATTCTCTCTATAGAGATATAAATGATTAAACTTGGGCTGTGACAGAAGATGGGGCCAATTCCGGTGTTCTTGCAATAGCACGTGCAAGATGTGGTAGGGGCCTCACTGAAGGCACTGGTGGCAGTGGTCAAAGAGGAGGAATTTGAGAAGTGCCCAAAGAGAAGGAGGAGTTTGGAAGGCTGAGGCAGGAAGATGCTAAGTTCAAATCTGGCCTGGACAACTTACTAATTTAGCAAGACCCTAT